TCGACAACAATATCCCGTTGACCCATGTAAGGGTCTATATCTCCAACAATGAGTGCAGCAACCTCGGAAGTAGTTGGTAACGCATAAGTCCTGGCATCTTTAGTCCTCTTTCCTATTAATCTCATTCTAATTTGACTTTGAGGATTAGACTCCAGACACGACTTGGCCATTCGGAATGACTTAACCAACACATTGTGTTCATCTAGCACTTGCTTAATGTCATGTACTACCTCACTATGCAATGCAGAACCATTGTTTTCAGCCCTAAAAAAGGAAGAATATATAATATAAGATACTCTGTATTAACTAATGATATACCAAAAATATTTCAGTAACACAAAAGAGTATACCTCAAAGAGTTTAAGCGATTTTCTATCTCATTCTCTGTATCGTGAATGTATAATTGGGAAAATTTCGGTTGAATGCCATGTGAAGGTAATAAGCTTCCAATCCGATGAAAATTTTGACCATTTATACGGAATATCGGCGGCGATGTTCCGTTGTTAATAGTTCTATCAATTTTTCCACCCATCGACGTAAAGCAAAACATGCTGTTATATGACCTTATATTCTTTAAAAAACATTTGTTTTTATCGTTTGATGTAAAGAATAGCTCATACAGCTTTTGAGGAGGCTTTGTCATAAATGGCAACTTTATTTTACCATTGACACAACACGCAGAGTATTTTGGACTTTCACATGACTTTGAATTGCTTGACCGTTCATTGTACCAAAAAAATGAATTACAATGCTCGCAAAGATACTCTGGATCACCAAGATCAAAATAAAAATCTTAAAAATATATATATATTAGTTAGCATGATAATGTATTTTACTGTAGTCCAAATATAATACGTTTTTGTCCTACCACATTTCATATGAACTCACCATTAACTGAGGGCATATTGTCATGTAACGGTTCAACAACTTCCTGAAAGTCTGGCAACAAATTTCGGTAATGCGGGATGGTTTCACTCTCCGGCTCTACCAGGATTGTTTGCATATTATTGTCATTTGTAATGCAACAATTACTTTCCATCCCTAAAAGAACAATATCCAATTATAATTAATTTGGTTATATATTAAATTAAGCATTATAAATGTGTGACAATTAAAAACCTCTTCTTGAATATATATTTATACCTATTTGCGACTCTGGCGATAGATTTAAGTCAAAGCAGAAACTTGGACGGTCAGATGTAGGTGAATTGCTGAGGAACACATTGACTTGACCGCAATTTGCTTTAATAAAAAATATTTTTTAATAAGATTTGTTAGATTAATAACTATTCAATTTGACTATATATATAATTCATTAGTAATCTTATTACAATATATTTGAGGAACTTCATACCATTTGATATGTTGCTAAATGGCATTCTGCTACTCAATTCTTGCGTTGGTGTATTATGTATGGTCATCCGTAACGGAGAAGATATTGTGCATTGCAACAACAACGATTATTATTAACCAATAGAAAATTATAAATGACTACAGGATTCGTAATTAGAATGTGTAGTTTAATATAAGGAATAAATACATCGATGGAGTCGAAATTTTTATACCTAGTTGTGAATCTGGGGTTCTATTTAAGTCGAACAAATGATTGTGGCGCTTCGTAATAGGTGCTTTTTCACGAGCACCGTCAACCCGAGCGATATTTTCTTTAATTATATAAGAGCCGTACAAAACACTTGTTAGGATGTTAATTATCACATTTGAAAAAATATTTATAGTTGTTAAAATGTTTGTTTATGTTCGTACTATTGGATATGTTGCTTAATGGTATTCTGCTACCCAAATCTTGCAAAGGGGAATTCCGAATTGCGGTTGAAGCTGTGAATTTCATAACCAACAGATCTTAACAACAATTAATTATATAATTTCACTATCATATAGAACACACTTACCATTTGTCACAATACTTAAATGTGTACTTAGCGAACTTTGGAAAACACCACGTAGGGGTGTACGATTGTGTGTATTGTTGCTGCATTCAATGGACGACATGTACGATGCATCCATGACAGTACAATTTTCATTCTCTGTAAAGGAAAAAAACAATGATATAACCATACATGATATGTTTGGTACCTCAATTTTTTGAATACATACGGAATCATAATAATAGATGGGTTTACTTTAATTATAATTAAAGTATTAATATTAAACTAATATTAATACTTTACTATTTCACAATAATACCATTTTATTATATCAATATAATATATCTTAATATTATATAATATAATATCATTATTTGTTACTACTAATAATATAATACTTTTAGCATGTTCTAATAACTTTTAATGTGTAATGTTATAAACATTTGATGGTAACAAATCGCAATAATAACAAATTAGTATAAGAATATTAATGATGAAGATTAATGTTAGTCAAACAATTATAATAATTATAAGAAGAATAAACATAAAAATGTTAATAATAATAATAATAATAATAATAATAATAATAATAATAATAATAATATTAATAATAATTTGAAAGTTAACAATTTCTGGGCTGTTTTAACTCTATTTAATAATAATAATAATAATAATAATAATTGTAATAGACAATTTTGGCAATCACACCGTGATGTAGGCAGAAGGCGTCGCTTTACTAATCTCCTAGAAGGCTCTATTGTGAGCCCAAGTCGCCGGTGAATGACGGTGGTTTCTCTCACTAAAAATGGACATGATAAAGGGTTTAGGGTTCGATTTTGAGACTTGATTAAGGTATTAATCGTTTCTCGACGGTCATTTCCTATCTCTTGGCTATGGATTGACGATGAAGATTAAGGTACTGTGAAGCATTCACTCACCCAAAGCTTTCACAACTACTACCACTCTGAGTGTTCATAGTAGTGTCAAAGCAGTAGATCGGAGTTTTCCTAGTGTCAATCATGACATAGAGTTGAATCCGGTGAACAATATACTCGCCGGAGTGCATGGGTAGCTAGGGATCTCCAAGGTGAACAGAAATGTGTGCGATGTTATCAGGCGGTCAACCATTTTGGAGAATCGTCTGTTCAAACACACGATTTGGACAATAACAACAAAAAGTGGGTATTGATTTCTAACCCGGCCTGTTCTAAGTTTTCAGATCTAAGTCTCGTTTATATACTATTTTTCTTTTCACTCCAATTTAATGGTACACATGCATATGGATTTTGGTAACCTGGAAATCTATCTGATGAGTTTTATTTGATGCGATTAATTTTGTGTTTCGATAACAGATACAATCCGTTAATATGGGTTGAGGTCGTTTTTAATCTTTTTAGTAGAGTTAAAAAAAAATTGTATAATACTTGTATAAACTAAGACCGAATAGTATAATAAATATAGAAGTTAATAGATTTACCTTGGTTGCTGCTGGGATGCTTGCGCTTCGAACCAATTGTGGTTGAAGATGTAAGTTTCCTCATGTACTCTAGGTGAGATGAATTGCCCGGTTTAGGATTTGTGTAGGTGTGGTGCTTAATAGAGGTTAATAATATCTAATTGTTGAATATATAGGTGTAAAGTAGTCAATTAATATTTGGAGACAACATTGGAAAATGGCAATTATAATTGCTTTTGGAATACTAAAAGGTTTTGATCAGCTACTTAATTAATGCAATGTGCCATCAATATATTAGCTCATTGATATTCTTACTACTTGTTTTTTCGTACTAAACTGAAATTAACAACTTTTTTTGGATTCTAATAATGTTTATTATTTATCTAATATATGTTGCTTTCCAGGCAACAAACAGTTGGGTCATCTAATGTAAGTGAGTTAAATTTTTATGCCAATAAGTTGCTTTGGGTTTGACATCAAAAGCAACTATTAACTGGATGACCCTGAGTGGAATAGAGCACAGACTTAATAGATGTTGTGATATGTTTTTAGCACATAATGGGAATTGTACTAAAGAGGTTGTTACGCTTGGGTCAGAGATAAGTTTTACATTTATCAAATTGGTTTAATATAATGTTCTTTACGTTGAGTATAATATTCTTCCAGTTTGGTTCGTACATTAGGTGATGTTTATAAGATTTAATTCAGTGAATTGAAATTCTCCAATTGCAGGGAAGATGCTAACAATTTGTACTCAACTCTAAGTCTTTGAGTAGTCTTCCTAATAACAAAGAGGCTATCAAGACTATTGTAGAAACAGTTACTACGCACGGCTCAAAGATAAGTTTTAACAGACTTACAAATCTCTATATAATGTTATTAACAACAATAATACCCTTTCATTGTTCCTAATTTAGATGGTGTTTATAATGAGTTACCCGGCTAATTCCAAATTTGGTCACTACAGGTAAGCTGCTACAACAACGGTCCTCACCTAACATTAATTTAGGAGGCTTCCTAATAACAAAGTTGGTGAAATCAAAGGGTAATTCACTATTCAGCACTAAGTCCATAATTAACTTTGTGATCTTAATCCATGTGTTAGAAATTGACTATGATGTGGCTGCCATTACTAATTTTAATCAATCACTTGTTGGTTAAACTGCAGGTAGGATGCTATCAAGCAAATGTTGCATAAAGGACCTAGAAGTTCACTTAAAAGGACTTTGAAGTGAGCTTTAAGATGACAGAGGCTGGTATGTTTAAGCCCTTAGTTTTAAACCTATTTTAATGACTTTTACTTTATCAAACTTCTAAGGGTGTTGAGTAGTCAGCAAGGGTTGCAACTGTACTTTTTTAATACTACATTCAAATTTTCAAGTTAGAGTACACTATTACTTTTGATGGTTTCTATACACTATTAAAATTTGATATTCTGTTTACATTATTAGTGGAGTTAATTTTGGATGACAATGAGTTGCTTTGCTGTTAGTATTTAATGTAAGGGAATTGTTAATTATCCAACAAAATGGAGGATTAGAATTATTAGCTGGAGCTTAGAAAAGATAGAATAATATTTTACCATTAAAAATGACATTACATTAATCTACCATAATGTTCTGCCTCTAAACAGTAGTCCTACAACTGTGTATTACATTTCACTCCAAATACAATTTGATGGTCTGTTTGCTAGATGTTATCTGCATCTTCAACTGATTTGTGTGCCACCACTTTCCATTTTTAGTGATATCTCTACCATCTTCTTCATTTTGTTCTGCCATGTCAGCCATCTCTTGACATATTTTACCATACATCTGCATTCTTTTTCCATCATTTGTGGCACCACTCCCTGAAAAAAAAACAATTCTGCAAAAGGAATATAACAAATCCAGTACCAATAACAGCTCCTAGGGACAAATTGTGAGCATTCATAAAAAAACAATGATTTAGGAATCTAATCCTAAATGATTGAAAGTTTCAGTCTAGCTGTTTGAGTGACACATCAAAAATGTCAACATAAAAACCATTGTTACAAAAAAGAGTCCAATAGAGCACATTGTCAATCATTAAAGTCATTACACATCTGCTTCCTTCTCAATCTTGACCACACATTCCTTGCATTTTTTTTGAACTTTGTGTGCTTGAAAATTCATCGATTAGTGATCTCTTGACTGTTCCATTCTCAATACTATTCTCTGCATTGAGTCTCTGTGCAACAACATGGAGTGGACTTTCAGCTTCATTTGCTTGGTCTGCTTCCTACAAAATCAGAAGTTCAAACTGTATAAGTCACCAATAATATTAAACTATAAACTAATTGGTACAACATGTTATTCGGTAACCCCAAGATAAGTATACCTCTAGATCCCATAGGTCCTCATCTGTAAGCTCCAACTCCAACTTTGAACTGAGATCCCTGTCCCTTACTCCTATTAGTTCTGGTGCATGCTTTGCTACAATCTTTTCATCAGTGATGATCCTCATAACAGGGAAAGCATTGAGATAATTCTGGAACTGTTCTTTGCGAACGGCAATTCGAAATAGGAGATTCAGTCCAATTAGAGTCTCGAGCTCCTTAGGTAGCCCCTTCCTTCCCTACATAAAAAGTTAGTATAGATTTTAATTTTCCTATATACCATATGTGAAACAGTATTTGAAACCACAACTTTTCTGGTTCAGGTACTACTAAGTTAATAGTCTAGCTAAGATTGAAATATAGTTTTGTACCTTAGTATGGGTATCCTTCAGATCATCCGCGCTAATTCCAAGTAGATCGAGGAACTCCCTGTCCCATAGAAGGAAAGGAGCATTGCCATCCAAGTCCACAACCCTAACCTTAATTCTGTACCTGAGAGTCCCGTCACCCCAATTTCTGTCACATGTACTACACCATAGCCACTTTCCTTTGAGTTTCAGTTTTTTGTTGCAACCCTTTGTTCTACACGAAGCATAGTACCACTCTGGATCATCAATGAATACAATCCTTGCTGCAACCCAAAAATCCCCAAACTGCATAATATATTAGACTGTTAACAGAGTTTATTACAACCCCCCCCCCCACCCCCCACCCCTCCCCATCAGTATATGTGTGATTATATAGTCCAAATCTTCCCATCAATTTTTATCTAACAGTAACTAAACCATCAATATGTGTTTGATTGTGCAGGTTTGGGGGTTAACAGGGAGTATTTGGTACCAAAACAATTAACACCAGCCCTGAAAGAGATAAGTACACACTGGTGGACTGATTAATCTGAATAAGTTATATAGAACACCACATTTGTGTTACTATTTTTCTATCTCATGCTTATTATCTAATACAGGTTAAACAGCCAAGAAATTGGATCTATTGTGTAGCTTTGAGCTGAACTCAAAGCATGGATTGCAATCAAGTAATATCATAGAGGTATATTTTTAATTAACTGAATGAGTTAATAACACAACTGTATACTCTAGAGCGCTGCAGAGTTGTGATATTATTAATGTAGCTCATGCTTTATATTAATTGCAGGTTAAACATGCCAGAAGTTTGTACTAACATGGATTGCAACAAAGTAAAGACATAGAGGTATATTAATAAGTGGCAAAATTACATCTATAAAATCTAAACATTTTTAAGGTGTTGGGTCTAATGTTTAGGTTAATATAATCATTTGCTGTTTTAAAGTATGATACACCTATACTTCATGAGTTAATTTGAATCTAATTGTAAATGCAGACTACATAATCCAGCAGTTAGCATTGTTGTTCAACAAATGTCAGTCAGTTCACAAATGTATACAGTATTAACATGCCAGTAAGTTCACTAATGACTTAACAGTCTTACCTCCTTGTCTCTGTAGATGTCATTGATAGTACGAACTTCCATATCAGCAGATAGGGAAACTGAATAGGAGCTACATTCCTTAAAACTTGACTGGGAAATTATACTGCGCATTGGAGTCTGTTCATGGCTAATACTGTAAAATGATAACATAAAATGAGAATTAATATTAAATGTAAATTTGCAGCTGCAAAAATAAGAATGGAAGTACCTTTTCCTGAACTCCTCAAATGGGGGAGATTCTTGGTTGAAAAGCAGCTGTGTTACATCATAGGAGCTACAAATCTTGACATCACAACCTTTAGGAAATAATGTTGTAGTACAAATTAGAAAGGCTAATTGGTGAATAAGTTAGGACCAGTTATAGGATTTAATCTACTTACTTTTTAGACACACCCTAGCCCTACAAAACTGTATCAACACCAATAATGGCTCTTGTGAAGTAGAATTGTAGAATGCCTCAATTTTGCTTACGTGTTCATCCCACAAAGTACACATTAGTTGTATTCCACTATAAATATTTAGAAAATATATTAGAATAACAGAAATCTCTAAAATATAAAATAAACCATAGGGACAGGAATTCAGTAGTACTCAGTATCTTCAATGGTGAAGTCAATCAGCCTGGAGTTCTTGCCATTGATTAGTTTCTCCTATGGGCAGTGTATTTCAATCACTCGACCAATAACATCTACAAAATAATGCATTAGAGTATAGAATAGTAGACAAAATATTAAATAATTAGAAACCATAGATTGAATGAAAGCACTGATTACCAAATAAGATTTTCTCATCAAGGCCTTCATTAGACTTGATCTCTCTAAAGGTCTTCAGCCGATACATTTTCATAGGAAATTTCACATGCTTTAAATCCTTAACCATAGTCTGATAGTTAAATTTTATCATGTACTTCTGTGGGCTGGTTTTGTATGAGTAAAAATTGGTGATCACACAAAAATTTTTTATAGCATATACTGAACCTTCAGCAAAAGAGCTAAGGTACTTTTCCACGTACTCTTTGGGTATATGAGCATGCAAGAAGGATCACTGTGTATGTGTAATTAACAAAAATAGGGACTGTAAAATATATATAATCTCTGTTTGAATATCGAAAAAAAATACGAACTGTATAAGTAAAACGACTGTCCATCTATTTTTAAAGAGTCCTTACCTCTTCATCATGAAAAACAACCTCTTTTGATCTAAACTTCGATGCATCACTTCTCTCAGGAATCTGATATGCTCGCACCACCCATAGTCTAAGAGCCTGCCTGGTATTCATCGGAGATATCTGGCTAGCAAGGACAAACATTTTGTGTTAGTGAAGAAGAAACAAAGAGGCTGTTGTAGAGGGAGTTTGCGAATGTATTCATTAGTTGTATATGTGTTGTATATATAAGGTCTGATGACCTTTCGTTATTGATCATCATCAATAAATACCTAGAGAATAGGTATGGGTTCGTGGGCTCATTGTCCCATATGCAAAACTAGTTGCCTTAAATACATTCTCTAATCCCATTGGATGGGAGAATGATCTGTTGTAGATATTTTGAAAAAATTAGGTTTTCTATATACTTTAGGTATTATACTGCGTAGACCTTTGGTTTTCCGAAGCAAAAACAATAAATTTCGCGGCTTTGTCCAAAACGTCGACGTTCGGTTTGGGCGGGATTTTTTTGCTCCTATTGTTTTGCTTTAATATATATAGAGATGACACGAAAGAAGAAGGTGGGTCGAATTAGAGTATCAGATGGCGAGCAGGTGCAAGGGAGAAGGAGGTGACTTGAATTGACTATTTTTCCCTCATGAATAAATAATTTAAAAAGGGTTAAATTTTTTCCGGCGATATTTGACCGGTGATTTGGCCGGAGGACTAAATGTGTTAAAAATTGCATAGTTACGGGACTAAATTGTTAGTTTTTAAAGTCAAGTATTGAAATTAACAACACCCCAATAGTTACAGGACCAAAAGTGTAATTTTCTCTTTTATGATATAAAAATGGATAACTCTGTTTGGTAAAATAGTTAGCTTATAGGTCAATTTTAGCTTATTTGACCACTATTAACTTTTTAATATAGTTAAAAAAAAATCAATATAAGTGTTTGGTTAATTAGCTTTTTGTAACTCCAAAATGCTAAAAATCAAAAAGTTGCTCAAAACAACTTTTTCAATTAATTTTTTGAGAAATGAAATTACACCAAACAGCTATTAGTTAACAACTAATTTACCAACCGTCTTTCTACAATCAACTAATGTTGTCAACTAGTTATACCTTCTAATTAATCCAATCAGCTAACAGCTAACAACTTATCAGCTAACAACCATTTACCAAACACGGCCATGTGAATAACAAATTAATTTGTTCCGAAAGTATTGCCATGAAGTTAAGAAAAAGTATATAGGAAAGATTTTGAACAAACATTTGTCTCATATTGAAAAAGTGTAAATATATTTTTTGCATTTTAAAATAATATTATTAGAAGCTTCTTTTTTTTTTTTTTTTTTTTTTTTAAGAAGGTATTCTTTTGCTCACCTACAACGGTGGTTTACAATTTTTTTTAGCAAGACTAGTATTTTTACCTGTGCGATGCACGAAATAGATTTGTTGTAATATATTAAGAATATTTGAATTAATATATAATTATTTAAATTAGAAAATTAAATATTATATAGTTAATTAAAGATATGATTTGGATCGTTTACGTATTTTGATGTTATCATTGTTTGAATTTGTGCAAATAATTGCTCAAATTAATAGCTAATGTTTAGATGTACGCATCCACTGTTATAACTTTGAAGATTTTATTTATCATTGTTTAGTATTTGCATAAATTAGGCAAATGTGCTCGTTCTCTAACAACTGAGTTATAAGAATGAATTGCTATCCTATTTCATTTGTATGGAAGATATATTTTTTGTCTATATATAACAATTTTTCTATTTAAAAAAAAAAGCATAATATCACCGATTATATTTACACATTATTGAAACCTCTTTGTAGACGACATTCATAGTGGCAACACAATTTTGTCCATCCTCATCTAGAGCTAACACCTTCAGTTCATCAGGGTTACTCGGGTGAAAATATATAATGGTAGAATATCACTCAATCAGTGATCCTTTTATATTTTCAGTCAATTAGTAATACCATATTCATTTTCAGCCAATTATTCTTTTTTATTTTTAGTCAATTAGTAAATTAGAATATCAAATGCAGTGATATTTTTACCTAATTTTCGTTCCATTTTTAATTGATGATGTAGATACTATTATTGAAATATTTCCGTTCTATTTTAATTTACCTTTACTATTGTTTAAAATTTTGCATTTACTTGATCACTAAGCCGGACAGCCACTTGATAGGTTACGTTTTTCAACTCCTCGAGTTTACTCCGCCTCTATCAACTTCTTCCTAAGTTGAGATGTTGGAAAGATAGTCTGGTGTTTCTCCAATTGGTTGAAGCCTTTTCTTGAGATCTGGATGAATATTCACTTGGACATATGCAAGACTGCTTCAAGTTGTGAAGTATGGAAATAGATGAGCCTTTGAAAAGCATCACAAGATCACTGGTTATGAAAAGCTTTTGAAGAATGAGACTGTTTGAAGAGCTTTTCTTTTGGATAGCAAGAGTGAATTAACTAGCACCTTCTTCAATGGTGTAGAGAGGTATTTATAGGTGGAAAAATTCATCCGTTGGAGGGAGATGAAGATTTCAAACCTAATAACCAATGTGTATTAACCAGTGGGCATTGAGCATTAAATGCACTTGTACTGTGTAGCCGTTAGAGCCAAAAGCATTATGGCTTTTGTCCTTGTTCTCTGACAAGATGGTACGAGTCTTTTAATGCTTCTTGTCTTTTGTGAAGATCATTCCTAGGACACTTTTTGTCCAAATGATTTGCCCATCTGAGTCATATACAACATTCTCATTGCTTCACTTAAATGAAGGTTGTCTTTTACAAGTCTGTCTTTGACTTGTTTACTCCGAGATTGTGACACTCCGTAATCCAAATTCAATGAAGGGATTAATTGAGTAATTAATCCTAATCCAATTGATAATTTAATTCCTTAAATTCCTGAAAATTCAATAGTCGGGGACTAGTAATTGACTAGTCAACCCAAAGTCAAGTGTTGTACCTAAAGCTTTGTGAGTAGTTCCCTTGTTCCCTTACACCTCTTCATTTTAGTAAGGGTAATAAAGACATTTCACCCTATGTTAGAATTGCAAGCTAACCTAGAGGACACTCCTCATTCTTTCCCCTTACACTTTCTAAACTTGAGCTCCTCCTTCTCTCTAAAAGTTAGATAGCTTTTCTTCCAAGCCAAGTTGGAGCTTTACCAAATCCTCAAAGTTTGTCTTCAAGATTCCACGTTTCCTACCTTTGAGCATCTAGGAGGGTAAGATATATGTTTATCTTGTGTTTTTAGTGTTTTCTAAGGTGTCTTTCCTTAAAGATAGAATCTTTATGATCTTTTGATGTGTTCTTGAAGTGGGTGTGGAAGGTGAACCTTATTAGGAGCTTGGTGAAGTATTAAGTGAAGGTTTTTGTCTACAAGAGGTAACCCATGCTCTAGAAAATCTATTTTGCTTACCTATATGATGATTTATTGGATTCTACATGTGATTTTGCTATGAAATGTCAGTGTTTATGCATTGTCTCGTGAAAATGCATATCTAGAGCTTGTGTTTAGGGTTCTTGTATGCCATTGCTTGGCTATTCCTTTGATTCAAGTCATTTTGTTGTATTTGGTGAGATTTGGCATGTGTTGAAAATCCCCGAAGGGATTAATTTTGGTACAAGAGTGTACCCGCGGCGGAACGGCGGGCAGTGGCCTACCCGCCGCCCCACCCGCGGGGTACATGGTGGTTTGGGAGGTGGTTCCCGCGGGCAGAACCACGGGGGGGGGGCGGGGGGGGGGGGTCCACCCGCGGGTACACAATGTTGACTTGTTGGGGATTTGTCCCCAGTGATTCTTTTAATTCGGTATTTGGTCTTTTGACTTTCCGATGTTCTTTTGTAGAACTATTTGAGTATTTTCTTGATGTTTCGTATGTCTAGAACTATATGGTATGAATCCATGTAGGTGTTGGTGTCTTGAATCGTGCTAAGTGTTCAACATTGTGATTCGTTGAACCGTGATGAGTCTTGTGTGTTCTTCGGAACTATGTTTGGTTTACCCATTTGATAAGCATGCTAGTTCGGTGTTTAAATGCTAGCGTGTGTGTTGTTTGTCCTTTCCTATTGTGGATGATGACTTGTGTTAATCATCGTTGGAGTCGGATTGTGATCCATTCCTTGATTGAGTATATGGTTTCATATCTTCGTCATGATCCGTTGATTGATTCCTGTTGGGGTGTGGTGTGTGTGGCTGTACCTGGATTGCACGATTAATGGTATGGGACATTAGTCACCAAGGTACGGCAGTGGTCCTCGTGGTGGCCATGACGCGATTATGGAGTTTGTGACCTTTGTGTACGGTTCACGTATTTATTAAAGGGTAACATGTGTTACCAAGGCATGTGTTGCCATGTGTGATCGGTACCTCGTGTACTATGAAATCGGTGGTATTGTTGGAGATTGTCGGAGAGGGGATGACGGTCCTCGGGGGAATAAGGTTGGACTTGGTGTACAGGGGTCCTGGAGGTAAAGGTTGGAACTAGCTATAAGGTTGGGGGTAGCCATAAGGTTGGAACCGGGCATAAAGAAGGCATCTCAATTCGTGATGGGTGATGTCACGAAACCTTGTGTAGCCGTTGTGTGTGTGATTCTCTATCGTCACAAAGGCAATGTGTTGCCAATGGTTGTGTCCTTATTCTCTTGTGTTATGCATGTCGGGTGTTAATCTACTTTGTGATGGTAGATTATGCCTTGAACCGTTCTTGTGAGTCGTTATTGCTTCTTGTCATATTGGGATGTGTTCCCTTATCTTTATTGAGAGTGCATAGAGTCTTGTGTTGATCTCTATCTTGGCTTTTGAAATTGATATATACTATATCCCGTTTCGCAAATGATTTTGTATATATAAACTATCTACATACGATATTTCACATGTATTGGTGGGTTACCAGCATCATTCGCTGACCGGGCGTCGTCCCATATATATATCTGTGTTTCTTTCAGGTGCTGATTAGATGAGGGCGCGGTCTAGAAGCTGTTAGAATAGATCCCCCTTTTCTTTATGATGATTTGGGCCTGTGTGCCTTTGGTTAGACTTTAGACGTTATGTCGTTGACTCTATTTTTGAGATTGTTGGATTATGATGCAGATGTTTACGCCTGTGCGTTCACTGTTAAGTGAGCGTGGCATAG